CCAGGCCCAGAGTTCAGGCCCACGACCGCACCCCCCACCCCCAAAAAAAAGATTCTTTCCACATACGTGTCAGCTTCAGTTTCAGGGATTCTATAGGCTATCACTTACCATTACTAACATTTTTTTTTTTTTGGTCGGTCGTGGGATTTGAACTCTAGGCCTGGGCACTGTCCCTGAGCTCTTCAGCTCAAGGTAAGCGCTCAACCACTTGAGCTACAGAGCCACTTCCAGTTTTCTGGTGGTTTATTGGAGATAAGAGTTTCACGGACTTTCCTGCTCGGGCTGGCTTTGAACTGTGATCCTCAGATCTCAGCCTCCTGAGTAGCTAGGATTATAGGCGTGAGCCACCAGCACACAGTCATTACTAACATTTTTCTTGGTACTTTTTGCACAGAACCTGAATATACTAAGGGAAGAATAAAAACCTTTTTTTTGTTCCGGGGCCAGCACTAGGCACCAAAAAAAGTCAAACCCCCAAACAAGAACAACAACAAAATCCTCCTGTTGCTAGGTGCTGGTGGCTCATTCCTATAAGCCTAGCTACTCAGGAGGCTGAGATCTGAGGATCATGGTTCAAAGCCAGCCCAGCAGGAAACCTCATTAGACTTTTTTATTTTTGCCAGTCATGGGGCTTGAACTCTAAGCCTAGGTGCTGTCCCTGAGTTTCTTTTGCTCAAGTCTAGTGCTCTACCAGTTGAGCCACAGTACTTCTGGCTTTTTTTTTTTTTAGCAGTTTTTGGAGATAAAGAGTCTCACAGACTTTCCTGCCTGGGCTGGCTTTGAAATGTGATCCTCAGTTTTCAGTCTCCTGAGTAGTTGGGATTACAGGTGGGAACTACTGGCACCTAGCCCTAGCACACACACACTGAGGCTCTGCCACCCATGCCTGGCAAAAAAAACAAAACAAACAAAAACTTCTTAGATTCAACTTCTGTTGTTCTGTTAAGGGTCCAAGTCCATCATTTTGCTATCTGTCTAATTTGTCATACCCTGAGAAACAACTTGACTAAAAGATATGAATTCTACTTGTAGCTCTGTCACTGACAGATACATATCCTGCTAGTTTTCAAGTTTTCCACCTGCCCATGTGTGAGGTAAGGTATGGGACCTTCAGGGTACTAACCAAGTCTAAGGTAACAATTCCTCATTTATTCCTATAATTGGAAAATCTTGAGGCTCAGATGTTAGAGCACTTGCTTAACATATACAAGGCCTGGCTGAAATTCCCAGCATACCTATACCCACAAATACATAAACACAGAGAGAGGAAGGATGAAGAGGAGGAAGAAGAAGGGGGAAGAGACAGAAGGAGAATAAAAAATATATAAAATAAAGAAAAATAAACCTCAATTGCACTACATTGAACAAACGGTTCTGGTGATCAAAATTCTCTGGCAGGGTGCTGGTAGCTCATGCCTATAATCCTACCTATTTAGGAGGCTGAGATCTGAGGATCACGGTTCAAAGCAAGCCCATGTAACAATGTCCATGAAACATTTCTAATAAACTACACATAAAAAACTGAATCAATATCCAATACTTTAATGACTACTCATCAAGTTCTCATTTCATCACTCTTATTCTCTGAAGGAAGATCGCTGTGGATGGAAGTGTTCCCAAAGGCCTGAGACAGTAGTGGTCACTAGCCTGTGGCACTAATGGGAGGTGGGGCTCCAGTAGAGAAGTTAGGTCATCAGGGACCTATTCTTTTTATTGTGTGTGCTGGTCCTGGGGCTTGAATGAAGGACCTGGGTGCTGCCCCTGAGATTTTGTTTTGGGTTTGTTTTTTTTTTGGTTGGTCGTGGAGCTTGAACTCTGGGCCTGGGTGCTGTCCCTGCGCTCTTCAGCTCAAGGCAAAGGCTCTACTGCTTGAGCCACATCGCCACTTCCGGTTTTCTAGTGGTTTATTGGAGATAAGAGTCTCAGGGACTTTCCTGCCCGGGCTGGCTTTGAACTGTGATCCTCAGATCTCAGCCTCCTGAGTAGCTAGGATTACAGGGAATTGATTACAGGGAACCGTGCCTGGTTCAATTATGGAATCATTTTTTTTTTTTTTTTTGCCAGTCCTGGGGCTTGAACTCTGGGGTCTGGGCACTGACTTGAGTTTCTTTTTGCTCAAGTCTAGCACTCTACCACTTGGGCCACAGTGTCACTTTCGACTTTTTCTGTATATGTGGTACTGAAGAATGAACCCAGGGCTTCATGCATTCTACCACTGAGCCACCTTCCCAGCCCTAGGGCTTCATGCATTCTAGGCAAGCACTCTACCAATACGCTACATTCCCAGCCTGCATAGTGCTTTTATTTAGACCTATGGTGTGGCAGGGTATCATAGCAAAAGCATGAAGTAGAATAAGAGACAAACCGTGAGTCTGCACCTGAATATTCCCTTCAAGAATAAGTCCTGGGCTGGGAATGTAGCTTAGTGGTAGAGTGCTTGCCCTGCATGCATAAAGCCCTGGATTCGATTCCTCAGTACCACATAAACAGAAAAAGCCGGAAGTGGTGCTGTGGCTCAGGTGGAAGAGTGCTAGCCTTGAGCAAAAGAAGCTCAGGGACAGTACCCAGGCCCTGAGTTCAAGCCCCAGGACTGGCAAAAAACAACCACACACACACAAAAAACACACTGTGGCCGACCATAGACTAAAACGCCAAAGCCTTAAGTCAAAATCTGGTAATAGACTATCCTAAGTATTTTGTTATAGTAACAGAAAGCTAACTAACACAATGGGCAATGTTTGCTGTGGCTGGCATACACTAATCTGGACTCTAGCCTGATGTTTCCCTGATAAAAGTAGGCCCTTTCCACTTACTGCTTGTTGGTTTCCATATGGCCACCGGAGCTGGATGATGGCAGCATAGAGGCGGATCATCCCAGACATGCGCTTTAGAAAGTTGTCCTGCTGTTCCATCTTGGAGTCTTTCACTTGATAGCCAAGCATCCTATATAATAGGATAAAATGAAAGTGAAAACCACAGATTTCCTTTTATGGCTAAAAGTAACATAATATCATTACATTTTGCATCAATATATTATAATATACATTATTACATTTGTAGAATTCTTTTTTTTGGGGGGGTAGTACTAGGATTTGAACTTAGGGCCATCAGCTCTTGCTTAGTTTTTCCCCTTAAGGCTGGCACTCTACCACTTAAGCCACATCTCCACTTTTGGCTTCTTGCTGTTTAACTGAAGAGAAGTGTCACTTGGATTTGTCTTCCCAGGCTGGCTCTGAACCTCAATTTGTAGATCTCAACCAGAAGTAGCTAGGATTATAGGCATTAGTCACCAGCACTTGGCATTTTTTTTTTTTTTTGGGGGTCCGGTCGTGGAGCCTGAACTCTGGGCCTGGGCACTGTCCCTCAGCTCTTCTGCTCAAGTTTAGCACTCTACCACTTGAGCCACAGCGCCACTTCCGGCTTTTTTCTTTTTGCTTATATGGTGATGAGGAATCGAACCCAGGGCCTCATGCATGCAAGGCAAGCGCTCTACCACTGAGCCACCTTCCCAGCCCTTGGCATATTTTTTAATAGAACAAATTCATGGTTTTGTAAAACTTCTGCAATGTAAACTGATAAGTAAAGGCAGGAAGTAATGGATACCATTACTTCATCTACAAATAAGGAAAGCAGCTAAAACGTTTACTCATTTCTGCAAAAAAAAAAAATTTGTTCAATCATAGGGCTTTAACTCTGGGCCTGGGCACTATCCCGGAGCTCTTCAGCTCAAGGCTAGCTCTCTACCACGAGAGCCACAGTGACACTTCAGTTTTCTGAGTGGTTTTATTGGAGATGAGAGTCTCACGGCCTTTCCTGCCAGGGCTAGCTTTGAACTTCCTCTCCTCAGATCTCAGCCTACTGAGTAGCAAGGATTACAGGCATGAGCCACTGGCGTCCAGCTTTATCCCTACTTTTTACTGAATAATTTGGCAGCTAGTAATCCTAGCTACTCAGGAGGCTGAGAACTGAGGATCTTGGTTCAAAACCAGCCCAGGCAGTGAAAGAAGCTGTAAGAAGGGAAAACAAATCCTAATTCTATTTATATTCCATTAATCTCCCCAGGGAAAGTAAGTACGGAGAAAACCAACTTCACCGCTGATAGTCCTCTAAAGCCATTCCCTCCTTGAAAGCAGGGTAGAACGGAACAGAGTAAGGACACTTCTTGTGGAGATGAGCAAGGATGAGGTTCCCCACTCTAGGGTGGAGCTCCCAGATCCCAGACGCCACCACTGCAATGGGGAATGCTGCTTCATGGTGGGAGGCCACTTCCTCCTCGCCTTGTTTCTGCAAACACAGGGATAAGCAGAATTTTTAAATTAATATCTGGCAAATAAAAGGCTTCATGTTTTACACCAGCCTCTTCTTCCCATACCTCTGGCAACAAGATTTCTCACCACAAATTTCTCTGCCAGTTTGTACTGAACGAAGTCCAGCCCTTGTGGGTTAAGTGTGATGGACACAGAGTGCCCACCGGACTGAACCAGCTTTCCGGAGAGCAGGCCATTGATCTTGTCAAAGACCTCCTTTAGTTTCGAGCCTGGGTAGGAGAGAGGAAGTCAGTAAAAAGCACAAGTGCACATCAATCTCTTTCTCATCATGTAATAACAAAGCATCTATAGAAACTCAGCTAAGCAGCCTTATACAAGTCCTGAGCTTCAAGCCAAAACACTGGTTCAGAAGAATGTATGACACTCAAATCAATGTTGTGGGGGAAAACAAAAGAATCCAAGTTGGGGCACTGTTCCAAAGCAGTTCCTTATTTGAGAAGCAACTAATTCTGAAACTGATATGAAAGACATAAAAAAGAAGGCATGGTACCACAGATCCTAGGGCTGTAGCAGATACCCATGGAATGAGTCCCACTTCTAGGAAAAACCTTCTAAGTGATCATCTAAATAATGGTCTTCATTACTTAGATGCATTCCTTCATACATAGTGATACACAGTGAGTTACTGCTGAGGTTTGAACTAGATTCTGAGTCCTGCAAAGGTCTCCGTGGCTAGTAAAGGCTTGATCCCCAGCTTGGCACTATTGGAAGTATTAGAAAATTTTAAGAAGCGGGAGTCTAGTGGGAGACCTTCAGGTCAATGGGGATATGTATGTCATTGAAGGGGACTGTGGCACACTGGACTATTCCTTTCTTTTTCATTTCATGCCTTGAGGTGAGTAGTTCTGTCTTGTCACATGGGCCAAAAGCAATGAGGTCCAGTGATCATGGAGTGAAACCTGTAAAAGCTATGAGTTAAAATAAACCTCTTCTTCTTTTATGTTATCTCAGATATTCATTACAGTAATGGGAAGCTAAAGCTGACTCTCACAGTTTCTAATAGCTGTAATTCTAGGAAGACCCTGTGTACCCCTTCCCACAAATGAGCTATAGTTAGATTATAGGAAGTCAAGCTGAGTGACTCAGACAACTTAAGAATGAATTCCTTTAGTGTCTGGCACTTCATCACTCACAGATAGTGGAGCTTTGCACTTGCATGTAGACCAGAGACTAGCTATCTATATGAAAGGTTAGAGAGGCACAGAGGAAAGGCTAGATTAGAGGAAAAGAGAACTAAAGTTTCTAGTAACGGCCACTAGACACTGTAACTACCTCTTTATCCTTAGAACTGCCTCTTATTGTTTTGTCAGTAATGGGGCTTGACCCTAGGGCCTGTACGCTGTTCTTGAGATTTTCTGCTCAAGGGCAGCACTCTATGACTTTGAGTCACAGTTCTACTTCTGGTTTTTCAGTCGTTAATTGGATATAAGAATTTCATGGGGGCTTTTCTGCCCAGTCTGGCTTTAAACTGCAATTCTCAGATCTCAGCCTCTTGCATAGGTAGGACTGCAGGCATGATATAGTTTTTACTACTGTGTTGTATTTGCAATCAAACATTAGCATAGCATCTCCTGTTGAAAAATACTCTGCAGGCTGGGAACGTGGCTCAGTGGTGGAGTGCTTGCCTAGCATGCATGAAGCCCTGGTGTTCAATTCCTCAGTACCACATACACAGAAAAAGCCGGAAGTGGTGCTGTGGCTCAAGTGGTAGAGTGCTACCCCCCCCTTTTTTTTTGCCGGTCGTGGGGCCTGAACTCTGGGCCTGGGCGCTGTCCCTTAGCTTTTCAGCTCAAGGCTAACACTTTACAACTTAAGCCACATGCCACTTCCGGTTTTCTGGTGCTTTATTATATCCCTCGCAGACAAGAGGCTGGAAGGAACTAAGAAGCAAGTGTTTAGAAACCCCAAAACAGTGTCGGGCACTGATGGCTCACACTTGTAATCCTAGCTACTCAGGAGGCTGAGATCTAAGGATCGCAGTTCAAACCCAACACAGGAAAGTCTGTGAGACTCTTATCTTCAATGAAGCACCAGAAAACTGGAAGTGCACCTGTGCTTCAAGGTGGTAGAGCACTAGCCTTGAACAAAAGAGCTCAGGGACAGCCCAGGCACCAATTCAAACCTCAAAAACAAACAAAAAGAGAAAGAAGCCCCCAAATAATCCCTGAAAACCAGAGACTTAAACCTTTTTGAGATGTTAAAATATATAATCTCTATATTCAACTCACAAGCTCACATTCCTAAGTTCAAGTCCATTGCTATATTACTGTCAGTTTCAAAAGACCTCATTGACTGAATTTCCCATCTTTACTTCTCTAACTGTGCCTTTCATATTCTTCTGCTCATGTCCTTATTGCAATTTCCTCCAATGCTAACGGCTCATGGACACTGGCTTTCCTTCCAGGGACAGAAATGAGATTCTTTTTCTCTCGTTCACCACTGAGCATACCCTGTATCGAGCTGCAGGTCTCTCTCAACAAGCTTTAGTAATGATGGAGCCACAGGGACAAAACTAAGAAATATGCAAAAAACAGCAAATCTAGAAGCTAACTAGAAGCGGGGAATGAAGCAGAGGAAGCAGACATGCATATGACTCTGGTTTCCAGCTCAGGTGACAGGACAGAAAATGTTACTGTCCAGTAAGAGAAAACAGAAGGAAGAAAGGCATGAGAAAGATGATGGGTTCAGACATGGAACATACTCCCCTGTAGGAACTCAGAGGCAGAGGTCCCTTTGGAGGCTGAGTCACAAGATAGAAGCTCAGAGAAGAGGAATAACAAAGGACAGATCTAGCAGTCACCAGCACACAGGTAATGTCTGAAGCCCTGAGAGGGGTAGGATGAGGAAAACTGGGCAGTAATCAGACCACTAGAAATCACCTATGAATAACAGAGGAAGAAGACTGAAGAACCCACAAAGAAAAAGAAGAACCTAGATAGTAAAGGAATGCTACCACAGGAGTCGAGTTTCATTGAGAAGCAAGAGGATTAGGAAATGGGATCAGAAGGTGCAAGATCAAGGGAAATTTTTTTTTTGTCAGTTGTGGGGCATGACTTAGGACCTGGATGCTGTCTCTAAGCTCTTTTTGCTCAGGGCTAGCACTGTAACACTTTGCGTCACAGCACCACTTCCAAGGGAAACATTTTTGTTAGGATTTCAGAAACTCAAGTAAGTTCAAAGCCTGGAAAGGAAACGATGACAGATACAAAGAGAGAAAGGCCATAACAATGAAGAAAGTCTTATGCTAGCCATTTCGAGACACAGGGAATGAGGGCAGATGTGTAGAAGGGTAAGCTTGGGCATGAGGGCCAGCTCAGTCTCCGAAATAGGAGACTGAAAGGTAAATATAGCCATGAAAGGTTGAAGGAGCAGGTCTCTGAGGAGTTTGCTGTGTCTCCATTTCCCTGTTGCAGCTGGAGGTAGTGTGCTGTGTGCACTGACAATGAGAAGGCCTGACAACAAGCCAGGGAGAGCAATGAAGGAATGGAGTGACTGTCCAAGCCACCATACCCTTGGATGGTGGCATCAAAGCAAACAGCACAGTGGGGTGCCAGTGGCTCACACCTTTAATCCTAGTTACTCATGAGGCTGAAATCTGAGAATCAAGGTTCAGAGCCAGCCCAGGCAGAAAAGTCATCTCCAAGAAACTACTTAGAAAAAAACAGAAGTGGCACTGTGGCTCAAGTGGTAGAGCACTAGCCTTGAGCACAAAGAGTTCAAGCCCAGTACTGGCCAAAAAAAAAAAAGAAAAAGCTAACAACACTTCAAATTCTTCAACACGATACATATTTAGTTATACTTTGCCCTGTTCCAGGAAGAATTTCAATCAACAAAATGATGTTTAAGTTTTGTCATGCAGCCTTTTGAAGATAGGAATTTCAATGTATGTTTGGCCACAGACTAATGGGGTTTTGGAACCCAGGGTAAATGAGAGCAGCTTCCCCACCACTGGGCACCGTGATCTGTAATTTGGATGATTCCTCATCAAGAAATGTATAAAATGGGGGGGAGGGGGGAGGCTGGGAAGGGATGTGAAGGGTAAACCAAAGGAGGAGGCTGCAATGCTTGGTAAAGGGGCTGGGAAGGTGGCTCAGTGGTAGAGCGCTTGCCTTGCATGCGTGAGGCCCTGGTTCGATTCCTCAGCACCACATAAGCAAAAAAGAAAAAAAAAGGATGCAATGCTTGGTAAGAAATGTACGCATTATCCTGCCCATGTAATTGTAACCCCTCTGTACAGTATGTTCACAAATAAAATTAAATTAAATTAAA